AATGGAGTTAAGAAGAGATCAGCAGAGTAATGTGTGCAGTAGATAAATGTTAATTGTCTCTGAGGCAATACCCTCAAACACCCATTAAATGCCTGCAGCCTGCTGAGCGGCATAAAGGAACGGATGGGCGCTGACATTCAGCTCTCTGAAGAGATGAGCTGCAGGTGGAGAGGTAGCCGAAATGATAATCTAAAGAACTGTAATTGTTAAGTGTCAGCGCATCACAGTGTTGGTCCACACAGATCACCCCTCAGTCTGAGGGCGCCCGCGGTCCCCATGGACTCCAGCGGCTAATGAAGGTGCAAGCTAGCGAGGGGTCAAGTCTCCCGGCGAACCCCTGCGGATCGTCTCGTTTCTTGCTCTTTGCCCCATTTGTCCTTGCCTCGGAGCTAAATGTCAATCAGAGGCACACAGGATGGACTGGCACAGAGGCATAGAGGGGCCCAAAATGGAAGATGGGTCAAACGCGCCATTTAAAAAGCATCATAAAGAATAAAGAAAAAGGAGAGTTTGGGGAGTGGGACCCTCTGTGTCATTGTGATGCGGTAAGTTTTGCAATGCGAGCAACTCTCCAAAATCCAGTTATTTCATCACCACATCCCAGGTAGGACAAAACTTCATTGACATTTGAGTTAAATGAATGAAAGAGCAAGAAAAGTCCCCATTGATGAGTTTCCCTTATCTGTCATGGCTTCTTTGTATCGAATATATAGACATGAAAGAGGGGCATCATTGTGCGTTGTTCCATAGATGTCAGCAACCTCCCACACCTAACTGCCCAACCCTTGTCAGTCAGCATTGAGCTTGTTTGTGGCAGGAACACGGCGGTTCATCCTCATGCAGCATCGGGTAGGAAGTGACCTCCACATTTGGACTTCTTTATCCAATGCCTCTCCTTCTCAAGTCTCCCCCTAGCTTATCTTTCTCGTATCTAACTTCTATAGTGATACCTCTGGCTTTCCATCTCGGTTTCAACATGAAAAGCTCATTAGAAAAATCTTTCTCCTTTATGTTGACAAAGGGGCCAAAGATACAGGACCCCGGTTGTTGTAAGGGTATTTTTACCCCTTCTCAGTTAAAATATTCAGGCCTTTAAGCCTCACTGATCCCATCCCTCTTTCTCCAACTCTCAGATGTGAGACAGACGAAGGGGCCTGACCGCTGGCCAAGGTTAACAGAGCCTTAAACTGTGTTTGAGCTCTGCATCACACGCCCACCACCACGGAGATCAAAGGCTGTTCTTCTCCCAGCGCTCACAGACAAGTCCTGGCTAACAAAACTGTCTTGCCTCTCCTTTCTTTGCCCTGTCTGCGGTGAGCCACGTCATGCCCACGGCAAACCCAATCAGACTCTAAGCCCAGTGTGAATCTTCCCACTGTGCGCCAGTTTGAATCTTCCCACATTAATTACCCACTTTGATCCATTATATCTGAGTGCAAAGATTGATTGATGTCGACTTTCTATTCAGATTATCTGTTTGCATTCGGTATAATAGCCATCATGCACAATGTTTTATTACCGCATAATGTTCAGGACCTGGTTAATATGTGTATGTGTACCTTACTTTTTGATTTTTGTTTTATCAATTAAAAATGTCTTTAGCCAGCTCAACTTAGACAAAGAATCTGATCACTGTCATTTCAGCATCTGTAACATCAGACAATCTTTTTAATGTAACATTTCCCAGGCATCCTCTTTATCCTCCAAACAGTGGAAGCGGCTGGGCAAAAGAATCTAAAAAGGATTAACAGTTCATGAGCGCCACCCTGTGTTTGAATGTTTAACTCTACTGTCTGGTTTGTTCTGCACTTTTTAACCAATAGAGAGCAGCACAGGGTTATTTTGAATTTCGGGACCTACTGTACTGTACATGCAATTTAATGACCTGTGCCAAAAATAGTAAAATTTGTCTTTGGAAATAGCACATGATTCATAATTTCTGCCATTTTAATTGTAGGTTATGGACTTCCACAAAGATTTGAGCTAACATGGGCCTGTTGGACTTAAAATGAAGGCCTCACAAAGACTGACCTCAAACTTTGTTCCAGCAATGAAAACACGCTGGGTCCATAAAGCACATATCTGACACTTATGAAAATTAAATTATGAGGACAGGAGAAATGAAGACGCTGACTCAAAAGGCCAAGACGGTGTCTACAAGGTAGTTTCACATTGAGTCTTATGGAAAGTCCAGATCCAGACTTCTGATTGAGCAGACTCCAGTTTGGTGGTGTTTGGTTTTACGGCACGAATGGCTCTGGTACATAAAACAAAAGAAAAAGAAATAATCTGTCATTCTCGTTGCGAAAAAATTACAATCTGAGCCTTGTCAAAGAAGTCTAAAGAAGGTTGAGCATTTTTGAGACACGTTTCGCGCAGTGTTGCATTTAACTTTCACTGCCTTGGAAATAATAATTAACCCTGCAAAGTTTGGAGAAAAGAGTGCCCCTTCAACTGTTAAACTTGGAGCTGGTAGTTTGTATTTGTTGAAATACCTGCATATTCTGGAAGCAAACATGAATAACACTGCCAGCAATCATGCTTAATATGAGGGAGAGATAGTTCCTTCAATCGTATTATCCTAAAGGTAAAAGATCAAATAAATCCGCTTTAGACTACCTAAAGAGCTGTAAGTGGAGGTTTTGCCTGGGCCCGCACATTCCAGACATACCTGAACATCTATCTTTCCCTATATACTGAATCTCAAAGGAGTAGTATTTGCAGGAATGCACAGAGTTGGAAGCAGTTTGAAGGATGATTGGGAGAAAATAAGAACAGAGAGGGAGACTTTTAACAAGCATCCAAAACCATTTAATGAAAACTATTTTATACTTTCTTGCTTAAAGTTGCTTTCCATGTAGGGAGCCCAAACTATTCCAATCATTATTGTCAAAACTTGGACATCCTGATACTTTCTATCCTTACTGAATCCTGTTCAAAGAAGGCACACTAGGTTCTCTTCACCTTGAAATTCTTTGCTCGTGGGGCTTTTGACTCTTTTGAAGTTTTGACTAGCATACCACTGTATCCTGCCCTGACTAGTCTACTGCTGCTTGGCAGTTCATTGTCCTCCCTCTGTGACTTTTATCGCAGCCTTAGGGAAGGTATTCCACTCCTTCCACACCTTCCCCTGCACCACATACACCCACACGCCTCTTACCAGCATGCAAACAAAAAGCCCTTTGCACTTGTTACGTGGGTGGGGTTTTCTGCTGTGCCAGCAAGAAAAAGCAAGTCGGTATACAGACAAGCCTTTGACATTTGAAGCCTCAGTAGAATAACCGATTCAAAGTTGATGATTAGGTAAGCTTCATAGGACATGGAAGAAGCATCAGACAATATATACAGTATAATGAACTGAACTCCTTATCTCGGGATGATAATGCATGCCTGTGTGTTCAGGAGTGCATCGCAAGAGTGCAAGCTGACCCAGATCACTCAGAACATTTAGATCATCTGTCAGTTAGATCAATTATTCATAAAAAGATGACACTGCATGCTTATTTGACATGCCAGAGACACAATCACGATGGTTTCCCAGCACTAAGTAGGCAAAAAGACACTGTCAGCATTTCATTGAAATCAGGGTTCTATTGGAAATTGTTTTCCAACTTATCTGCTTCTCCGGTCTCTCAGTTTTCCTGGCACACAGTTAAGTGGCGCCGGGTGAAAAGTACAACTAAAACTGAAAGCTTCTTCAGAAAATGGAAAAAGTTTTTAGAAAACTGATGCAGTGTTGCTAATGAAAATTTCATCCAACAGACTTTAGTCAAGTTGTAAGAGTCAGGCTAAAGTCAAATCAAACTTAAAGTTTTGTCATCGTATTTTAGGTAGACCCCCCCCCCCAAAAAAACAAACAAACAAACAGGTTTACTTTTTATTGAGAAAATCATTAAATGTAGTTTGGTGATAATTTGTGATCAGGATCTGATTGTGCACATATGCTGGCATCTGATTAAAATACTTTACATACTGAAGCGTAAGCAAGTCCACAAAATGTGTTGGAAATGGAGTTTAATGCTGACTTTTTTCAGGCTCATTTCCATTTTGACCTTGTGAAACTAAGATATGCAGATGCACAAAGTAGCATTTAAAGTTACCACTGTTAGCCCCAGAGGAGCTGTGGGGAAAATCAACCTTTCTCACTCAACACAGTTTGTTCCAGTACTCCTCAGTCTGATTCATCTAGGCCTTTTATAGCTATGGATCAGTATTTTAAAAAATGTAGGTGCGCCCTGATTATGGCAAATGTTAATGACCAAATCATTTCAATCATACCACACTTTGAAAATATGGTTTTGACAACAATTAGGAAATCTCCCATAATGAAATGCAGCTAATTATGTGAATGCTTACCCACCGTTTTCTTTGTGCCACCAAAATTAGCATTTTTTTTTCTACTGCTGCATTAGAGCTGCTTTTGTAGACGATTTTAAATTTACATGTAAAGCTTCATAATCCACTTTCTTATTATTTTTCACTTGCAGTGAATTTGATGGACCGCTCTTGACTTTCTTTGCCTCCGGTATGTTGTTGATCTCCCATCTTTTCATATTTTGGGAAGCATACAGAAAATACTGTGCACCACGTTTATTACTTACTACGTGTAAAAAAAAAAAAAATTGTGGTTTTTGTTCAAAACTCTGGACACCCAAACACGCCCACCCTCTTGTTGACAGATTGGCGTGGCTAATTCCTGACGCGAGGGGGCGCTGTTAACCCTCACCAGGACCTTATCCCAGAGAATGAGTTCACAACCGTGATAGTGCTATGTGAGTGAGTGAGTGTGTGTGTGTGTGGATCCAGTGAAAAATTACCCGGAGACGGAGTGAGGCAGTTTTTGACCGTACCAATGTGTGGGACCTATAAATACGTATTTACCCCGGCGGAATCATCTCGCGGACACAAAAGTATATCGAAAATGAGGGAATAAGCGGAGGAGACGCACGGCGAGGCTCGTCTGCAGCTACCGTTTTCTTGGACCGCGAGTGGGATCACAGCTGCTGGCTACGAAAATGTCGAAAAAAATAGAGAGCAAGCACGGTAGGTCCTGTCTGGCCGGGCTGGAAGCACACTGCTCCACCTTTGGGATACGGTATAACGGTTTTCATCATGCGGGGCGCCGTCCGGGGGGAAATGTGGCGGATTTGGACAAATACGATGACGATGTGGGGCTCCGGATAACGCTGGATGAATGTGTCCAGTGTATGGTGGATTAATTGGGCCTCAAGGATTGCTCTTTTCTCGGCTACCCAGTTAAAATAAAGCGTCACTGTATGGGCTAGCTGGTTATAGCTAATTAAGCCCTATTGGTATCAAGTGCTAGTCGGACTGGAAAATACGTTATAAACGTGCTAGCAATTTAAAGCTGGCCCCACCGGCACCCCAGCCTTCTGTCCCGATTTAACAGGTCGTGTGTATATAAATAAATTATGGTTTGGTTGTTTTAGAGCACCACAACGTTGGAGAACAAATCTCTGCTTTTCATTTTGGGAGAGAACATCTCAAGTCCCTGTGAAAAAAAAAATCAGTGTTTGGTTCCCGAAAACGTTCCCAGCTTCATTTCCATCATTTCAGCCGCTTTTAGATGTGGAGCTAGCAACAGCTAAAGGCTAGCTTTTCATAGCTAGCGCTAGCAGCCTTCATACCTTGTACACTAGTTGTTCACGCCCAAGACCGCCGTGTGTGTGTTGTCTGTGTGTGTGTGTGTGTGTGTGTGTGTGTGTGTGTGCGTGTATACGTGTTGTGTTGATTTTAAACACTGTGCACGTGGCATTTTTCGTTGCCTTTGAGCCTCGTTTTGTCTTTACGCGCTGCTCGTTTTCCACGCCAAACCGACAGACAAATGAAGCCCCGCCAGGCACCAGGAGGGCGAGAGGAAACGGGGTGGTCTCGGGTATTCCTTGGGAAGGAAACTTTATACCCGCCAGCTACACTTGCATCCCCATTCCACCAGCTGTCTCCGCGCCTCGCTTCACACACACAGTCCTGCGCGGTGTTGCCTGCCTGCTGTTAACGGACTCACACTAGCCAGTAACAGGCGGGGAGGGAGTGTCGTCCAGCGCCGATCCCCTCACTCCTCGTAGGCGTAAAAGTTTCCGATTCCTTTCGTGTCTCGGAGACAGATGTCTACATATGGTCACGGCTAAATGAAAATTGAGAGGCAGTGTAGTTTGAGAAGATTCATTTGCAGAGATGTGCTTTAAAAAAAAAAAAAGACAAACTGTGATTTAAATGCCTCCCACAGCCCTTGAACCCATCACATTCTCAGGTCCTGATGTGCACATGATGGCACTAAAAAATGCCCAAACCACACATTATGTCTGTAATACCTAATTCTCCCATCCATCAGCTTCTGTGACCTGATTATGACTTTAATCTGCCCTAAAACGTTTAAACCGTCCTTGTTTGTTTTGTTGCATTTCCAAACCCGGTGGTGCTGCAGATTTCTGTGTGATTTGTGGCATTCGGGTCCGTGTCAGTTCATCTATCACAGAGACATATAAGGCAATTTCTTTCATTGAGATCACACTGAATCACATTTATTTGGCATTTATTTGTTACTAATGTTTTGACCATGAGAGAATTCAACAATGCGAGACCGAATGCCTATTTGGGTCACAGAATTTGACGTTACACAGGAGAGGAAAGGAAAGGACTGGGCATTCCTGGCAGCACTACAGAAAAACCGTCTGCAGCAGGCATGGCTTCAGTTTGAAATCCTTTCTCCGCAGAGAAAGGGGGAGAAGGTATGTGGGGGCTGGAAGAAATAGGTGGTTTTGAGGAGCAAGAGTTCAACCTTGACAGATGGACTAAACCTTCTTCTTCAATGAGGAAAATAATGGGGGGTGAAAATTTGAGGGGAATTAAGTTGTAAGTAGATTCCTGTGCGTGGTTGTCCTCATGAGTTAAGACGGCTGTGTGACACAGCTGTGATTTACCATGCAAGTGGTTACCATAGCATAGTTTGTTTAGGTCCATCAATGCGTACACGGGCACCGAGCTCCTACAGGAGAGCAAATGGCAGATTTACGAGCCGCATCAGCATCCTCCCAAATCACCATAGTGACGGGGTCCCAAAGTGGGACCCCTTCTCCTCTCCGGGGAGGTCAACACCCACAGCACTACCTGTTGAAAGCCGCATCTGCTCCGCGTTATGCGGAGCTTCACTGAAACGCCACCTTCCAAACCACTGATTTATGCTTTTAGGACGGAGCCCCCTTCTCGGCGCACGCACCCACATGACCTCACCACTCTGGCAGCCCCAACCGTCATCCATAAACGCACTAGCGTCTTGTGGTGTTGGCTTAAAAACTATGAGCAGCTGGACCTAAAAAATGTAGGAGTGTGTCTGTATTTGTCAGTTAACTTCTGGCGTATGTGTTGCTCTTCTTTGAACGGACGTTTGTGGTTTTCACCGTTGTCATGGATGTGTCCACGGCATCTGTCAGCAGTTAGGACTTGTCATTATTGCCCAGATATGCTGTCAGAGTTTAGTTTGGCAGTTGAAAAGATTTAAAGTTTTTTTGTTTTTTGTTGGCAAATATGTATCGTACTTTTTTTCTCCCAACATTTTCATCCCGTAAACTTTTCAAATGAAAATTTCATTATCTTTCATTTTTAAATGAAAATCCAGCCAAAAAAGTTTCTCATTCTGGACCCAGTTCTTATTGTGAGGTTATTTTGCGGGCTTCTAATACGACACGACTTCGCTCGACTCCTCCGTACTTCGTTTCCCACTTGTCAGTGTCCCCCCAGTCGTGGGTGGGGTCAGCTGTTAGTCATAGTGATGCATTGTGAAGCTGTGACACAACTGGCCTTTTTATGTGGGTGTGAGGAGTGATTATTTTTGTCAGTTTGTGATGAGTTTTTAGAACAAAGGAATGTGTTTTTGTTTTTTTTACATACAGACTAGCATTTGATGAGCAATAAAAAAGTCATGGTGCTCATGGTCATTGTTGTCACTACATTGTTTTCTAGTAACTGTATTTTATCATCTAAGTATGGCTGGAATGTTAGCTGAGATAGGAAAAAAGTAACACTTTTGAAACGCACAAACTCAGAGTTGTTGTGCGAAACTATGAGAATCGCTGAGGCCCAGGAATCGCTCCATCCTTCTAACTTTGGTTTTTAAAGCTGTGATACGTTAACTCATCAGAGTCTCTGATCCTCTTCCAGTCACTTTGAAAAAATACTAATAATATTAATGAATATTCAGTTTTGGAATTTTTGTAAGTTTCTCTGGAGTTTCTGAGAGATGAAATGTGGTGTGCACATTATCACTACAGTTCCCTTTACTCAATATTTTGCCCCTTTAGATGCTGTAAAATGTATGTTTTATTTACGTAATGGTAACTAAATTTGTAGCACTTTTTTTTTGCGTGTTGTGGGAGTAGCACAGTGATTTATTATTAGCTCGTGAACTCTTCTCTGAGTGGCCAGTCATCGGTAGTAACCAGCCTCAGCGGAACTGATCCATTAGCTCCTTATTTTAGCCCCCCCCCCCCCCCAACGTTCATAGTTGGAAGTGTGCGTCTTTGTGTTTGCTTCCAAAGGAGTTTAGCTGCAATGCAGAGAGTTGACTCTGAAGCGTTCCCAGAGTTAACGGTGGAGTGTCGGGCGCTCCGACGGCTTTGTGTTTGTGATGTGGTGGCTGCACTGCTCCAGACTGAAATATCTGCTTGTGTGTTGTTCAGAAATAGTAAGCCCCGCATGCCTTAGTCACCAGAACTCTGAGCAAGAGCTAAAGTAGTTCTGATTACAAAAGTTTCCCCAGACAATTTGGTCTACCCACATAGCTGACGAGTGATCCTACTGTTGCACAGAGCGAGCTATGAGTCCCGCTTTGACATGCTGCAATTTTGAGGTTTGATGGGAGCAGGCATTTTACCCTCCCGCCACCGCAGAATGAGAGGCCTGCTCTTCGCATATAGGTTTAGCTGTGTTGTAATTAGATTTTTGGGTGCCCTGTGTGTGTGTGTATGGGAAAATAAAAAAGCGGGAGGGAGTAGAGCTGGAAGAGAGAAGGGGACTGGATGGAGAAAGGTGGAGCATGGAGAGAAATCGGGTCCCTGCACAGACTACAACGTAGAGAAGTGGATGGATTACGCGTTTGGTAATAACCGGGCCGGGCGATCGATGGGAAGTGGAGGGCAGTCGGATCCCTCACCCCCCCGGAAACATGAATATTTTCAGGGCTGTTCAGCTTTCTGGGTCCTCAACGGCATAATCCAAGGAGCTAAAGACGGCTGTTGAGATTGTTTTCAAAGAACTTTTATGTAATTCAATTCAGGATCCGTTTGCAAGTCATATTCGTCTCTCCACTCCCATCTGCGCTCCAGACGGTCTTCTCTGAGGAGCTTTACGATGCTGCTTCACCTCGGCTCTGTGCTGTGTGATGGCCCACAGGCTCCTTCCCTCAGGTGGCTGGCTCAGTTCCTCCTGACCGGCGAGCACGTCCCCGTGACAGAAGACTGGGACCCTCTCCATGACCACTGATGACGCCTTTCACTCCGCGGTCGGAGCTTTTGTTTGGTTTAAAAGATTTTGTAGGATCAGCTGGGTGGGGGGGAGAGAACACCTCATATACTTCCTCTTAGCTTTTGTCAGTGCTATTTGTGGATGTTTCCTCTGAGTTGTCGTATAGCGTGACTGAGTCAAATGTGAATGGTCAGAAGTCCCAGTTAGTTCATGACTAACTCTCAGCAGTTTCATTGAGAGATGGCTGTAAAAACACAAGCCTGACCGACGGCTCCCAGCATAAAGGAAGCCCCCGCCGCCGGTATCGCCCCGACGGATCTCGCCCTCCTGGATGGGGAACATAAGCTGGAGGGGTCAGGCGTCCTCGGACGACACGGACTCCTCTTGCCAGGGAGATTTCGATGAGGACACAGGTAAAGACGGCAGCGTCGCCCACAGTATCTCTGAATGTCGGACAACGGGGTCAGATTCATGCAGGAATGGCTGCACTGCTGTTGAATAGCCTCCTCTTTGGGTCTGGAGAAACGTATTCGATGGAAAGTTGATTTTTTTGTTGTTTTTTT